AATTCATCAACATTGTAAGGAATTTAATTTTTCCTTTTTGGACAAATAGAGTGTGGCTTATTACACTCAGCACTAGTGAACTTCCACACCAGATAATTCTTTGTGGTGGGAGGTTGTCTTGGGATTTGTAGGACTTCCAGTAGCAGCCCTGGCCCCTGCCCACTAAATGTGCGTGCGCGCACGCACACGCACACACACACACACACACACACACAATTTGTGACAACAAAAAGGTCCCCAAACATTGCTAAATTTTCCCTTAGGGCAAAGTCTCCCTGAGTTTGAGAACCACTGATGCAGACCAATTGCTAACCTTTTCATCTATGAAGATACAGCAGGCAGAAGCACTATTTCTTCCTGAGATATCCTTAAGGGGGGAAGAAACCTTGGATTTTAGTCAGACTTGGGGGTTACTGTTCAGTTAGTTCTTTAAGTATATTCATAAATGTTTTCTGGAAAATTTGTCTCAGATCAATGCATCGTTTTCTATTCTCTTGCCCAATTCTTTGCATATAACTTTACACAATCTATTTCATACAATCACTTTGATTTCACGATGATAAGAAGTGAGTACTAATAGTCAGTGGGCTGGAAAGCAACTGGGTGTCATAGGAAGAAAGATTTGCATGCACACGGACCAGAGCTTCATTTCTATGAAAACTTAGTCCAGTTCCTCAGCTTCTGGGCAACGCAGCTTTCTCATCTGAAATGTGGGGTTGTTAAGATTGTAGAGGGATGTTAGGAGAATTAAAATGAGGTGAGATGGTAACAATACGCCTCCCCAACAGAGGCTCACTGAGCGATGATAGTCTTGTCTGTTTCTAACACCAAAGCCACAGCTCTGTGAGCCCTGCCACAGCTGCACGTCGAAGCAGCTTCCTCAGCAGAGGGAGGGTGTGCTCCTTTTCTGCTCGGAGACCTCTTTAAGGATCTAGAAAACAGAGAAATCCTCATAAGTAACACAATTTGTAGACAGTTTTAGAGTACTCACAGACACCCTTAAGGTATATCTTGAGCCCAAGTGAGTGATCTTTCCAATGAAAGCCTTCTCATTTCATCTTTCCTTTCAGTGGACACAAGCAGGTGGTGCCAAAATGTTTTCTCTGTGCATTGCTTTGAACTGGTACCCCCATCTGTGCGAAGAAATGGATTCCTATTTCCCCTGATGGTAGTGGTCAGCCAACAGGCCCTGGAAATAAATCATTGGTTTGGAAGGCAAAGGGCCTTGCCAGTTTCAGTTTTTCGGGAAAGGAAAAGGTGAAGAAGGGTAGCTGGTAAAAAGGGGCCAAGTGGTCCAATATGATTAGTCACTGCTATTTGTTTCCTATGGCTTCTGTAACACATGACCATAACCTTCATAGCTTCACATAGCACAAGTTTGCCGTCCAGTTCTGGAGGTCAGGCATCCAACATGGGTCTCACTGGGCCGAACGTGAGGTGCTGACTGGGCTGCATTGCTTTCTGGAGGACTGAGTGGGGGCATCCAATTTTCCTGCCTTCCCTACTTCAGGGAGACTGCCTGCATTCCTTGGGTTAAGACCCCCTTCCATCTCCAAAGCCAGCAATGGCCAGGTGAATCTTTCTCATGTGGCATCACTCACACCAACTCTCCTGTCCCCCTCGGCTACCTTCCAAGCCCTCTGTGATTACTTTTGGCTCATCTGGATAATCCAAGATAACCCTCTTTTAAATTCAGTTGATTAGTAAATTTAATCCCATCTGCTACCACTCCCCTTTGCCTTGTAATGTAACATATTCACAGGCTCTGAGGATTGGCACATGGGGCATCCTTGGGGGACCATTATTCTGTGTACTACAACTAACTTCTTCTTGGTATTTTTGATGACAAGGTAGGAGTAAGCCCTGTTACAAGCCTTGATGAACATTTACAGTTAAGAAAAGCAACAAGCTGGCAGTAATTTTTGAATTGTCATTATACCCATGTACTTTTGGATAATAACATCCCCTCAAAAAATCCTGATCTTTAAAATAGGACCTCTCAAAAGCTACATATACTCAATTCATATTTTTCTCAGCAACTTAATGTCTTTGAACTCCTGATAACTTAGGCACCTGGAGAAATTCCTTATAGTTCATTACTCAAAATTAAGACAAATCACATGTATTTTGTAAAGAAAATTGCAAATAACAAGTAGAGATACCCCTGAAGACTAAATAAAATTTCCATGAGTGAGAAAGGGCTTAAAGAAAATCATGGCACTGTTGGCAGAAAAGGGAGGACAAAGCCACTCAGAACAGGTGACAGGTTGCACCTCATGTTCACTATCTGGCTTGCAGGCCCATTGCTCCATGGCACCATCTCTAGAATGTTCCTCATTATATTCCCTTGCAAGTCAAATATCCTCATCTTTCTTACTCTACTGAATCTTTGCTTGTTCTCCTCCAGGGGACCTGACTACTTGTCTCCGATTCTTCCTTTATTTAGCACCACCTACCACCATAAAAATAGCTTCCAGTCCATCATCCTAACAGTTTTTAATACATGCCCCACTGTCCTTGGCATTCGTTTGGTGTTTAGTCATATTTAATCCTGTTGCTGTACCACTCTCCAAAACAATTATTTTATGCTTTCTCCTCTCTGCTCAATCCTTCAATGCCTCCTTCCCCACTCACAAATACTCTGGTCTCCCCTCCTAGGAGCACGGTCGGTGTGTATGCCACAGCCCCATTTTGAAGTTACACATGGTGGGACTATTTATACCGGCCAGTGACATGTAGAAGGGTTATATAGCACTTCCAGGGACAGGGTTCAGAGGCAAGGGGCCAGTTTTCTTTTTCCAGTCTCATCAACAGAGGAGCACAAAGAATCACCTAGCTCCCCAGATGAGGTTAGAGGAGCATCCTCAACTGACCAGCAATAGACATTTAACCTTCAATGTGCTAAACCACTGAGATACAGAGGTTGCTTGTTACTACAACACGACTTAGTCTAAACTTGGCTTTTTCTTCAGTGAGAAAATAGAAACAATCAGAAGAGAAATCTACAATCTCCAACAACCACATCTACCATTAGTTAGTCACCATATACTCTTCCTTTTTTCTGCATTATGGCTGAGTTCTCCATGTTCCTAAGGCCAATGTTTCATCTTGTACACTAGATTGTATCTTCTTTTATCTATTAAAAGCTATCATTCCAGCATTTTTCTCTTCTGTCTCTTAATTATCAATTCTTCTCTCTCAACTAGATTACTTTATCAGCTAATAAATATACTACACTGTCTTAAAAAAAATTTTCTCCTTGACTAGCCCCACCTGTTAAAAATGAGTTGCAATACTTAGTCTCATTCTCTCTGGAACTGTTTGGGGTTCTGCTTGCCCCACTAAAACTGAATCTTCTCTTGTCAAGGTCACAAACGACACTGAATTTGCTAACTTAGGTAGTCAAATCTCAATCTTTATCTGATATGACTTAGTTGAACATTTTCCTTCCTTCTTGAAATATTTTCTCCATTTGATTTCTAGGACACAGCTATCTCTTAGTCCTCTTCCTCACTGGCTGCTTATTCTTGGTCTCCCACACCCTGAACGTTGGGTTGCCCCAGGGCTTACTTAGGCCTTAGATATCTTTTCTTCTTCATCCATACTTTCTCACCTGGTGGTCTCATTCAGGCTCATGGTTTTACAAACCATCTTTCTCTTTTTTTCCGACTTATTTTTGCATTCATTTGTTGATTCTTCTACACGCCCTGACTGGGGATCGAACCTGCAACCCTGGAATATGGGGATGACATTCTAACCAACTGATCTACCCAGTCAGGGCCCCATCTTACATGTTAATGGCACAAAATTTTTACCTTTCTCCTGACCTCCAGATTATATCTTTATTAGGATCTGTAGTAGGCATCTCAACATGTCCTAAACTAAACTTCTGGTTCCTACCTTTCCCCACAACATACTCTTCTTGCCCTTTTCTCTAGTTCAGTAAGTAGCAACTACATCTATCCAGTTGGTCTGGCCAAAATTTGTGGAGTTGCCCTTCACTTTTCTCTTTCTGTCACTCCCTATGTCCAATCTGTCACAAACCCTGTTAGTCCTATTCAAAGTTCAACATCATCTCAGCAGCTCCACTGCTATCACCCTGGACCAAACTGAAACCATCTCTCCAAAGTACTATTTCAATAGTCTCTGATTGGCCCCACTACTTAGTCCCTGACTCATATGGTCTATTTTCAACGTTACTCTCTCTCCATGAGTACTTCCATATGTTTGTCCACTACATACCTTTAAAAATTGTTACCATTGATTATTGACAGAATTAAGACACATGGTCAAGACAGACAGTGACCAGCTTTTGGGGGGTTAGGAGATTCTTCAGCATTTGAGGTGTTAAGGGAAGCTGTGATTACATCCTGGGATTGTCTTCACTCTTCAGCCCATTTGTGTTTATCTCCAAAGCCCTCGGCTATGACTAACTCCAAAGTCCTACTAGTACATCTGTCATTCCTAATTACTGTCTCCCCTTAGAAGTACTTTCCTTGTGCCTCTGTCCAAATGTTTATAGTTTGACTATCTTAAGTACAGTTCCTTGTCTTTTCCCCAACTAGACTCTGAATTACTAAAAGGCAAGCGTTTGGTGAAATATGGCTCAGTCTTCCTCCTCCTCCTCCTCCAAACCCCGCCCCGCCCGGGGAACAGTAAAAGTTTGATGGAGTTCCTTAAATGGAGTTTAGCAAGTATTGAGTGCAGGTATGTGCCAAGGGCTGTGTCTGTTCCTGGGAGCAGCCACCCAAGACAAGAGGGTGGAAGACAGGACTGAAGGGTCTGGGGAAACCAGGTGAGGAAATGGAAGAAGAGGAGGAGGAAGATTACCAGAGAGGGGAGAGGAAGAAGGGAGTGGAGGGTGGGGGGGGGGAGGAGGAGCAGGAGGAGGAGGAGGAAGAGGAAAAGGAGGAAGAAGAGGAAGAAGAGGGAGGAGGAGGAAGGAGGAGGAAGGTGCAGGGAGGGGGAGGGGGGGAAGGAGCAGAGAGGGGGAGGGGAGAAAGGGGCGGGGCTTCGGACGGTGACCTCGCGGCCCTAGCGCTCCCTTCTGGACCTGGTGGCCGCATGGCCCTGGCCTCCTCCGTGGCCCGCTCGGGCCGCGGGCCCCGGAACCTGCTGCAGTTCCTGCGGCTGGTGGGGCAGCTCAAGGTGAGCGGGCGCCAGCGGGCTTTCCGGGCCGTGGCAGGCCGCGGCGGGAGAGGCCGGGGCGGCCGCGGACCCGGAGACCTCCCGCCGAGCCGCGGCCTCCCGCGCTCTCCGCGTCCTGTGGGCGGGGGCAGGACTCCCCCCTCGGGAGCCGCTGTGCACGCGGACTGGAGACACCCGGGCCTACTAGGCCGACCCCCAGCTGGGTGGAGTGCGAACCGTGGAGTCTCCCGCGTCGGGCGGCGAGCGCGGGGCTTGGGCAGGCCGGGCCCGGGCAGCCACCCCGGAGGTTTCTGGGGGCGCTGCTGGCGCGGGGACCTGCGGGACACTCCCCACGGCTCCGGTCGGTCTGCCCCACGGCTCCGGTCGGTCTGCGCTGAGTACTTGTACGTTTGGGGCACGACTAGGAGGCGGAGTTGGCTTCCGAGCTCTGAGATCAGTCCCGCAGATTTTACGCTGGATGTTCAAAAGTCTGCCCCACGATTACAGAATTAACTAGCCCGACTGTTTTTTTACAGAGGATTTTAGATAGTACACACGAGTGACTTCACGTTCATGCACCCCACCCCCACCCCCACCCCCCACCCCCCCACCCCCCGCCGCCGCCTCCCCGTTAGTGATTTTGCTGAATTTCTCCAAAGTTTAACCTTGGAGATTATTTTTTTTCCTGTCACTATTACTATAGTTTATAAAGTTCTTGAGAAATGTAGACTTCTGAGGAAGAAATGCATTCTCACGGGATCGCATCATTATGTGAATAAAAGGAAGAATCATTAGAAATGCTGTTATCCCTTCTGCTTAAGAATTTGGAAGTCCATCACTTCTTCAAGCTCAGAGCTTTCACCAGTGTTTTCTGCTTGTGTCTGTCTGATGGGGTTGTTAGAAGGCAAAACTTCCCAAGTCTTGTAGTTATGAAAAAATAAGCTTCTTTACACTTTCGTTTTATGTTTAAAGGACTGTATGTGTTCCAAAATGTATACATCAGCAGCACAGAATAACTTGACTACAGACCTTTGTATTGTAGACCCTGTGATTTATCCCACTCCCCCACCCCCCTCTCTCTGACCTCACTGGTTTATTGGGTTGTGGATGTGGGTCATATCAGTTAGTTAGGTATTTTTTCATTTGTTCCGAATCCATTAACTCTGTTTCTGTGTCCCATTCCCTGGACTTCTCTTGAAGAGCATAGCAGATAAGCAAAATATTTATTTTTATAATCATCTTTTTCTTCTTCATTTTCATCAGAGAGTCCAACGGACTGGCTGGGTGTACAGAAATGTCGAGCGGCCAGAGAGTGTATCTGATCACATGTACAGGATGGCAGTTATGGCTCTGGTGACCAAAGACGATCACCTGAACAAAGACCGGTAAGCTGTGAACTTGAGTGCTTGTCAGGTGGGGGCTCCATGCCATGATTGTGCACTGCTTTTCATGACTGAGGTGTGTGTCAAATTCTTGTGACAGGTTAGTTTATAAATCAAGAAAAATTTTTTGAGGCAAACCTTACAGATTCAAAATGTGAGAATGGGAACTCTGTATAGATTGCTGCAGTTGTTAATTGCACTCTGTGCTTTCTCTGTTAATTGGCAAGGGAAAGAGCCTGCCTTGGTCTCAAGAAAACATACGTGTGGTATTAGGGTTTCCAGGGCCTTTGAAGCGAGTATGTTATGTCTTACATTTTATCATTGTATCAGCGCACTGTACTTTTTATCTAGTCTCTTTTAGTGGGGTGACTTCTTGGAGTGTTATGTGCAAGATATACCTGAGGAAGAGATATTCTCTCTTCCTTCAGCCAAGCAACAGTGTAGAATACTTTTCTGAGTGTAGGACAAAGTTCCTAGCAAGACAATAAATAAATACCAAATGAATTACACAGGCCCAAAGTGGTTTCAAAAATAAGCTATGTTAGAAAATGACCACTATACTCCAACAGGAGAGAGCACCTGTTATGGGGACTCTGAGGTGAGCCCTGGAGGGTTGACTAGGTAGAAAAGTAGAAGGTACAGCATGCTGAGGGAAGGGCGTAGAAACCAAAAACCTGATGGCAGGAAGGTGAAGGTATATTCTGGAAATAGTAAGTCCATTTAATTGCAGCAAAGTTTCATTAGGGAGTCTGAGGAGCCCCGTTACTCTGGAGATGGTGTGGAACTTAGATTTTTGGCAAACAGTAAAAGATGAACTTAGTGTTGAGTGGAGATAAACCTAAGAGTAGTGTGAGATTTTAACTGGGTCAGGGAGAGCCAGCAGGCGGGGAGGGGACACCTCTAAGAAGTTGTCTAGGCCTTGTCCTGCTTTGGTCATAGTGGGAACCGGAAAAAGACTGGCCCTCTGGGACATTGATCTCATGACCTACCTTCATTTTTTTTTTTTTTTGACAGCGCTTATCCTAATCACTACTCATTATCACTAATAATCATAGCCATTTATTGTATGAACAACGTGTGCCAGGAACATAAATTACCAAATTTAATTTTTATACTAACCTTACAGAGTAGTATCTCTTTTTTCAGAAGATAAAATGAAGGCTCACAACACTTAACATATAAAGAAATTTAGTAATTTGGCAAAGGTCACACAGCTAATAAATGTTGGTCGCTAGGTTTGAACCCAGGCCCATCTAACTCTCCATTTTTCTATAAAGGGCTCCACTTTGACAGGGCTTAATATACCTATCTGGTATATTAGGGAAATGAGTTTCTGAATTTTGTATTAGTAACTAAATGCTATAACCCCCAGATCACCTCCTGGCTTTGTAATCTGAAGTTATCTTTTATTTTTTATTTATATTAATTATTTTATTGTCTACTAATTATCTATTCAAAAGTATTATTTATTCAGGATTTATTAATCTTGACTTTTTTTTAGCTTGCTGTGTTGCAAGCCCTTCTCCTATTATCTTTAGATTATATATTATTTTCTATTATCATTGAGTCCCCTTATACCTTATCTTTTAAAGTGACATTTGAGAGATTAGCCATTTCTAAAAAGGTATAAGCTAAAAATTTCCTTTCCATTCTCATATTTTGTGTTGAATATTAATGAGCAGTTTTGATTTTGAACTTGAAATTTGGCAAAAAATACTTTCAAAAATGCAGCATTAAAATACTCTGTGAGGGTAGAGAAAAATAATATATAACTTCAAAATAGTGTAGAAAAGGTGTTTGTCATGAACATAATTCCATGTAACTATTCGTCATTTCTTGCCCGGTCAGATGTGTGCGCCTAGCCCTGGTTCACGATATGGCAGAATGCATCGTTGGGGACATAGCACCAGCAGATAACGTCCCCAAAGAAGAAAAACATAGGCGAGAAGAGGTCAGTGTTGACTATTGACTCCACAAGACACCACCAGAAAAACCTGTTGCTGAAGCAAAGCTAAGTTCATTAGGCCTGATGGAGTAAGGGAGTGTCCCATCTTGAAGGAGTCTTAGTGTCTCACTGAGAGAAGGGGAACGTCAGGGGAGCATATTTATTGAGTTTGAGAGCCTGGGCTGGAGGATGTTTAAATGGCTCTCACAGATGGGCAGCCGGCTAAGGCTGTAGAGTTTAGTGTGTGAGAGCCTTGGGTTGGTGGGATTGGTGAGGCAGAATCTTGAAGCGTGAGCTGCTTGTGTTTACTGTATGTTGGGGTTTACAGTCTTAGCTTCCAGAAGCAAGGATTGCCCTGGAGTAAGACCGCAATGGTTTTTGCTGGTTCTTAACCTTGTATAACACAAGAGTAGGAAAGTATGCCTGCTCCCAGCCTTGTTTAACAAAGGGACAGCAAACTGTTGGTTTCAGTTTTCGTTAGAAGGTAGACGTAGATAACATGGCGTTCATTAGAACAGTGGAAATAGCTGGAACTTGAAGGAGTTCTCCATGCAAGTTAAGCTCTTTCAAGAAAAGTTCTATAACTTACAAGTGTAATTATTTTTATAATTATTATTTGTTTTATTTTTTTCAGCAAGTATTTTTTATTGCAACTGTTTTTCAAGAACTATGATTGCTGGTATAGTTTATAGTTTTTACTAATGGTTTTTAAAATTCTCTAATATCATTTTATATACATTTTTCCATTTTTAAAATTTTATTGTTGTGCAAGTACAGTTATCTGCCTTTTCCCTCCACCTCTCCCCGCCACCCCAGCCATCCCTCCCTCCCTCCCTCCCTCCCTGGTTCCACACCTGCACCCCCTTGGTTTTATCCATGTGTCCCTTATAGTTGTTCCTGGATTTTAAATGAATCCTTTAATTTAGTGTTCAGTGGTAAAGAAAAATATTTGTATTAGTAAGAAATGAATAACACCAATAAAATGTGAAATCAATATCATTTTGGGCTCTAATCCCAGAGGCCAAGGCCAAAGAAGGAGACATATTTAAAGCAGAGGCTGCAAAATTCATAAAGGCTTTTCTTATAATGCTGAATGGCTGGTTCTCAATTCAGGGATCATTGTAAGCTAATTTTATTATAGGCCACGCATCCTAAAGTGCTAAGTGGACAGATCTTTATCTCAGATGGTTTAACAGGGCAGTGGCCTTAAGTAGCTGTTCTCAGAGCTGAGGGGAGATGAACTTAGTAGCCAGCAGCATTTTACCTCCCTACAGACAAGAGAGTCCACAGGGAATCCAAATTTAGGAGTTTTAAAACATCCTAAAATTACAGGTACAAGAGGAATATTGTAAGGAATATATTTTTTCCTGCCAAGACACAGGCCTCGAATGTAGGCTCAGCCTTGTGACAGCCTGTAGAAAGGGAGGAAGCTGAGAAAGTCTTTCTCCATGGAGAGTTTAGACTGTTGTGGGGCGACCACTTTGTAAGGTGTAAAATGTCTAATCAATGCGTTGTGCACCTGAAGCTAATAGAACATTGTATGTGGGCTATAACTGAAAAATAGGTTTAAAAAATCATCTAAAATGATGAAAAGGCATTAAGAAATTCCTAGGTTAACAGTTAATTTAAAAAGAAACCAACTGAGTTACAGAAAGGAATTAGTTCTGAACCCAAGGATGTTGGTTGATGACTCATTACAGAGAGAAAAAAAGGGGGGAAAACCTTGATTATACAGCTCATTTCAGGATACATGATAGTGTTATTCAAGGGTACATCTGGATGTTGTGGATGAGAAATAATATACTGAAATACTAGAGGGTAACCAAAGATTTTAAAGCGACACAGAGGAAGAAAAGACAGGTACAGTGTGAATTTGAGGCTTACTCCCTTAAGGAGCACATCAGACCCTTCTGAGGAAAAAGCACAGCCCAGAAGAAGGGCCTCCAATGACTGGAGATGAAAGAGGACCCACTGCTGTCCTGACAACAGCTGAGACCTGGCCTCCGTGGAGGGGCATAGTGTGGACCCAAACCATCAGAGTGTTGCTGTCTTGCTGGACTCTGTATCCTGGCAATGAAGAAAAACCTCTGTGGCCTCACTAAACTACCTGCTTGCTGCCCACTCCTTCAATTCACAGGAGAGTAAATACCATAATCATAAGGGACAAGGGAAACATCTCAGAGAACTGCAAATTCTTGGACAGAAACCAGAGGCTTGGAGAGCACTGATACTCCGTTGCTTCTTCCTGCCGCTGGCTAGGATTTGAGAACAGAGAGGAGGATGTGAGAGCTGAACCATTCTCTACGCAGATGGTGTTTATGAATGAGACGTGCACGTCCGAACCATGCATTCCGATAATTAAATGAGGGTTTCTTGGCTCGAGCTGGAATGCACATAATGAGCAGCAGGGAGCATCATTTGCCGAGAGGATAGCCAACTGCATCCAGAAGGCTTTAGACCAAAGGAGGAGGCAGGAAAAACACTGGATAAGCCTGGAACGTTGACTGTTTTGGAGGAGAGCGAATATTTGGAAGAAATGAGGATGAGGGAGTAGAAGAGAGAATTTGGGGGCCAAAAGCAATACTTGTAGTCTGACTCCTTTTTAGTCAGGTAAAATGCAGGGTCTGGCACAAATAATGCCCCTTTTTATTACAAAATCATAAGCATGTAATTCTGTAACATAACAATATCATAATCAAGCACACCATATGACATTTTAGGTGAAATGCTCAAATTGCTGTCCATTTCGTGAGAGACATTCATGAAACCTACCAACCATACCCCAAGAAGCCTTACTTCTGCTGGACCCTGTATACTTTGTATTATAACCCAAGTTGATCGACGGCTCCTGGTAGGGATCATCAAGAATTAGTGGGAAGGAACTTGAGGCTGGAGTGTAGTGAGGGCAGGTTATATTCCTTTGTAAAGGGGAAAACTTACTCAGACAGAAGAGGAGTCATGGTTATATATGGACCTGTGAAGGTTGAAGTTGCCAAAGAACTGAGCGGTTGGAAGGAGAAGAACCAAACTTTATTATGCGAGTCAACATGGCAAAATGGAGAAAATGAGGAATGTAGGGAACATTTTATAGAGTGCTGCTTATGTGCCAGATAAACACTTTGTATATAAACTATTTAATCCACACAGCAATCCTTTCAAGTAGGTACCATCATTAACCTCATTTCAGAGTTGAGAAAGCTGAAGGACAAAGAGGTTAAGTAACTTGCTTGGGGTTCCTCAGTTGGCAAATGGACAGCTGGTTTCAAACCCCCGTGAGTCGGTAGTTTGCAGTTCACCGCAGCACTGTTCAGCCTCACCAATGATGTGTGAACAATGATTAATGCTTTCTGGGTGCTTGTCACAAAACTGACACAAGATGTTTGCTGAAAGCTTCATTCAGCTCAGAACTTTAAGCAGATTGTAGACATGCTTGGCTAACAGGAAGAAGCAAGGGAAATTTCCTCTCTAAATCTATGCGAGAACAAGGCAAAAAATGTAGGGAAATGGGTGTGGCAGGGCTCACTGGCAGGAAGAGAAGGGGCACCCATAGCCGTGTACCCTGGACTTCTGTGGAGTCAATTTCCAAGGGTTCATTTAAAAATGTAGGCACGATTCTGTGGCATATGCTGCCAAACAAGGAATATCAGCTACCTAAGAGGCCTCAAAATGCAGTTCTCATTGTGTGATAACAAATGATATCCATGAGTTTAGATCCAGAAAAATCACTGTTCAGTTTCAGGAAGAGAGCAACAATATACTTGTTTATGTTTTATGTTTTTTAATGGATGTTGTGATTTTAGTCAACAGGAAGCTAATTAGTCAGTAATTGGGTGTGATCCCCAAAAGGCCAGTTCAGCCCTAGACTGCATTTATGCAAATAGAATGTCTAGCTTGAGGAGGCTGTGGTTCCATTCTGCTCCACCCTGGGCATACCACATATCAGGAACTGCATTCAGTGCCGGGCGTGCAGCCTTCAGTGGAAGAAAATGATCTCTTCTTAATGCAGGACTTTTATGTTTGTATTCTCAAAGCTTAGGTTTTGAATATACCTGCACATATATGTTACTCAGTTTAAACAACAGCAATAGGCGAACTTGTGTGTCTAGAATAGTGGAATGATACACTATTTATAAAGAGACCTTTAATCTTTGAAAATGCAAATTAATTTTTCAAGTACCTTGATGAGATTTATGAAAAAGAAGCAAGGGAGAATGCAGGTACAGAATAATCTAAATTTTATACCCCTGGGGTGGTATGATGCTACAAGCCATTCAAGATGGGGATGTTACTATACATGAGAACAGACTGTTGACGCTGGCAAATGTGTTTTGCTCTAGAAGAGATTGTGTTTTTACATATTTTTCCTCCCAATAATAAATAAGTGTACACACAGATATCCATATTCATTTTCATTGCTTTCCCCAATTCCCTTTTTGATTTTATATAAGACTGTTCCCACTTTTATACCGGGAACCATTTGCCAAAAGTGGTTCTTACAACCATATTCTTTTCAAGGAACCTACCGCTGGTTAGAACTGAAATAGATTAAGAGGTGTAGGATGATGATGGTCAAGAAATCTGAAGCCATTTGAGGGTAACTTGCAGACCCCATGCCCCAAAGGGTGATGTTTTAGAAGGACGCTGGAGCAACACAGAAATGAAGGAAGCAAGGGCAATGAGGCTCCTGGAACTTCAGAGACTAAAATAAGCACTGAACACTCTCTGCTCTCTCATTCTCTTATCTTTATTTTTCTTTGGGTTTTGACTCTCTCAGGCTTGTTTGTGGCTTCTGTCTCCCAGCCTCTGCTGGACAAATCACACGGGTGGCCCCCAAGTGACTGGTTTGACTCACACTGCCATTCCTTGGACCAGTCACTGGTGGCAGAAATTCTGGCCCAGCTGGGTCACTGCCCACCTGTCGGACATTGTGTTTGTGAGAGGCAGGAGGGAAGGAAGGGGGTGGGGCACAGAGGAAGGACTAGAGAGACAATTTCAGCTGGGTGTGAGGAAGGACTTTCTGTCAGTGCTGCTTCAAGTCCATTTGGGCAGCCTCTTGAGGTGCCAGGTCCCCATCACTGGCTATGTTTATGGAGGGAGGACAAGAAGTGTTCAGTGACGCTGCTGAAATGTTCCCATACTTGTCATGGATGGTTTGGCCGGTTATCCTTCAATATCCCTTTTTTAGCCTCTGAGTCTGTTAGCCTGCAAGATACTATCATAAATTTCCTTTATGTTAATGATAATAACTGCCTACTTGTATGGTGTTTTACATTTTGCAATAAAAAGATTAACAACAGAAAATGGATGTAATAGTGTACAAAACAGTTCAGTGGGCTTTGTAATTCATTATTACTTTCCTATTCTTTCCACTCGAGGTTTGTGTTGAACTCTAGCATGCTTATGACCGAAATTTATGTGGGCATCTGTGATTCATTCAGAAGGTATAAAGTCTTTGGCCTCACTTCTGATATTTCAGATTGTCTCACACCCTCCTCATTGTCCTTTTATATGTATGGTGTGCTGCAGGCCACAAAATAAGTGGTTAGTGATGCCCACGTGAATAAATACTTGTTCTTACTTAATGTACAGAACTGCCCTCCTTGTAAGCCATAAATATTTCCAGTATTCTGCCCCTTTGGAAGTTACTTTAAGGATTTGAGCCCAACACTTGGCTTTTGTAGATGAGTTTAAATGTGAATGTGATTAAAATAATGGTTTGATATTTTAGGCAGCTATGAAGCAGTTGACCCAACTTCTCTCAGTGGATCTCGGAAAGGAGCTCTATGAACTTTGGGAAGTAAGTATATACGATGGGTTGCTTTTTATTCATTGTGACTGAATTTATATGCCTCATCAGTGTTTTAGTTAACTTAGATTATTGTAACAAGCTGTCTCTAACTTACTGCCTTCTGGATTGTGTCTGTTTTTCACCTCTGAGCTGCTGCAGGAGTTTCTCTTGGCCAACATCTTTTCTTCCTCAATTTCCGCATTTCGCTTGTCACCATGAAGCCTGGTGCACAACCTGACCTGTGGCCCCTGGGTTTCCTGATGCATTGCTGTCACCCCCAGCCCTGCCACACCCACCAACCCCATACCCGCCACCCATTTCTGGTCCTCGAAAACGACATGGGCTTTGGTGGTGCAGTGCTGGGCTTGATTCCCACCTCACTGCTTCCTGGCTCAGTGACCTTGGGCACGCTCCCCTCTTGGTATGTTGCCTACCTGTGAACCTCAAAGGGGTGCTAGGGCTGACAGAGGTCAAGATGAAGTACTGCCGTGATGCCCAGCACAGAACCGGGGCTTCGTCAGTGCTCGCTCCCTCCCAGAGCTGCCGAAGGTCAGCACTGCAGAGGCAGCGAGGCTGGAGGGAGAGGGCACAGACAGCCACCGCGCTGCCCTTGCCCCTCCTCGTGCTGCCTCTCCTTTGTGAAGAGGAAACAAAACAAACCCCTGCCTATTCCAGACTCATGAATCCAACAGCCTAATGGACTGCTCCACCTAAATACCTATAGGAACCTCAACTCAGCATGGCCCTCACTATCTGTGGCCATTTTTATTGTTTAAAAACTTCTTATTGAAAAGTATAGAAAGCTGCACAAAAACCAAGGTAGGGCATAGTGAGTTATTAGAAGAGTAACTTGCTTGTAACTGCCATCCACGTCAAGAGTTGGAACCTTGCCGCTCTCCTCAGAAGCCCTTTTTGTGCCCTGCCCCAGCACAGCCGGTACTTTCATGGCTGTCACTGAATTTCTTTATGGTTTTATCACCCAAGTGTTCATCCCTAGATATTTTAGTTTCATAGTGCCCATTTCTTTTAGGATGAACATTTTTTATATATCCTTTAGTCTACAGTTCTCCCTCCCCCTTTCTTTTTCTTACATGTTATCATTGAAGAATCCAGTCCATTCGGCCTGTGGTCGAGTTTCTGGTGGTCTGGGTTTTGCCAGTTGCACAGTCACGAGGCAGAGAGAGTTCCTCATTTTTCTGCAGACTGGCAGCTACATCCAGAGGCTGGATCAGACTCAGGTTGGATCCTTTTGGCAGAACTGTAGGTGGTGGTGGATTCTTTCATATGCAACACACGCGTCTGGGTTTTCTTGGTGCTTATATCCCTCAATCCTGTGGTGTTACAGAATGGTATTCTAATGTTTTTATTTCATTTTCATTTTGTTGCGGAAATAACTTTGTTACCAGATGCTTCTCCTTCCTCTACTCTCTGGTTAAGGTCATATGAGAAAGGTGTGGTAAAAGCACTTGACTTTGATGGCTTCCTTGATAGCAGGATTGGCAGGGTAATTCAGCCTCATTCATCTTGGACAAGCCCTGGCCAGACTACCCGTTTTCTTTTCGGTTTATTTTTGAATAGGAACTGTTATTTCAATACCATAGTATGGGCACTAAGGATGCTTGTTGCTACCGAGTTTGTTATTATTTCAGTACTTTTTAATGGACAGAGCTGGTATATAGATGTATATATAAAATACCTTGTGAATTCATAGTGATACTTCCAATTCAGTTTGTACTTAATCTCTTGCATGTTATGTTGCATGTCCTTCCACACCAGGAATCCTGGTTATATAACCTTTATCCTTCATTACACATGCACCATCTCAGGATAATAATTGTACTCACCACCATCATCAGTTCTGATTGTTGAGAACAGTTTTAAAAATTGTTTGCCTTCGCTATCTCTATTCTCCCGTTTTTATAGTTGTGCAGTATATCCACATTGTCTAAACATTTAACCATTACATACTATGACCCCTCTCTTTTTAAACCTTGCTTAACCTCAGTTCTATCAGTAACCATGTGGTCGATGCTCACCACCGGTCCTAAGGTCACTCTCGCCCCAGTCATTTCGGTTGTCTGAAACCGGTTCTCTAGCAGGTTCTTCAAAAAGGGCTCCCAGGAACAGCATCCCCTCAATGTTACATGTCTTTGATAGTTCCTCTGTGTTCTTTAGGCCTGAAGGTCAGTTACGCCTGAAATGAAAACCTTGGCTCCCAGTTTCTTTCCTTGAGTATCTTAAATACATCGCTTCCATTTTCTTCTGTCCTAAAACATTGCTGTCAAGGTGATCATAATTATATTTTTCTTACATGTTAGATGTACTTTTTGCATTTGTCCAAAGGATTTTTTTTTATATATGGCAATTTTTAGAATATGTGTTGGTGGTGTTGGCTATTGTGGGTTAATATCCTGAAGAACTTAGTGTGCATTTTCAATATATGCTTTCAAATATTTTTTTTATTTTTTAAATTTTTTCAATATAATTTTTCCTTCTGCTTTGGTTTTCTTTTCCCCCAAGACTCCTGTATATCTGTATGTTGGTTCTTCTTTGCTTGTCTTTAGTATTTATTACCTTCTCTCTATTCTTTATATCATTTTCATTTCTTTGACTTTTAAACCCAACCTCCTTTTTGATTTCTGTTTCTCTTAAGGCATCATTTATCATGTTTGATTATTCTTGTGTTCCTTATTGCTTAGTCTTTATTTCTAAAATGACTTTTTCTTCTATCTCTAATTACTTTTATGTTGCTCTTTCATGTCTTATCGTTTTCTTAATATCTTTTAGTTCCTTTTGAAATAGTTTGTTATATATTAGATTGTTTTTAAAAATGAGGATGTCTTTCTGATGTGAATTGTCTGTAGAGATGTTACTTTATTCTCTTCATCTCATGGCAAGGTGGTGTGGAATCTGACCGTCCAGACTTACCACAGCATCTGCTTTTCTCATTGTTGTTATTCATTTTGATATACAGTTATGGTTGTGTTCCTGGACTTCTGGAAAGAAACTTGTTTCAAATAGCTTTTTTAACTTCACAGAGCTTCCTCTTCCTTTTTTTTTTTGGTTTGTTGGTTTTTTTAACGTAGTGTAAAAATGTGGTGGTTTGCTTTTAGAGATTTCCTGGCTTTGTTCCCTTTCTGAACTCTTATCTGGACTTTTTTTTCATCTCTGTTATGCTTATCCTGTTCAGTGTTGATTGCAGCTCTTTCTCCTCATGACCTGGAAGGGGCCCTGCGGGTCAGGTTGGCCTGTTCACCAGGACCGGGCTTGTACTGGCTGCAGTTGGAGTTGGGCAAGTTTCCTTCAGTGTTGGTCTCTGTTCTCACATCATGAACCTACCATCTATTTAGAGATGCTCGCATTCTTAGGTCCAACAGATGCCCTGATGCCCATAACCTCCTCTGATTCCTCCCGGACAGACACGGATTGCATGCAGGGGTAGAGGTGGCTTGTCCCCTCTCATGTATATTTTGCCGGTAATGTTATGACCTTCAGTTTTGTTATTGTTATTCATGAGGTTTTTGGTTTTGCTGTTTCTTTGCTCTGTAGGGTTTTTCATCTTTGTTTCTTCTGTTTTGCTCCCTATTTAGTTTCCCAAGCTAGAATCTAGGAAGTCATTTATGACTCTCCCTTTCCCTTTCTTTCACATTTTAGTTTACTTCTTTTTCCTTACCATTTCTCAAATCTGCCCACTTTCCCCCCTCTTCATCGCCACATTCTCATAACTTCTCTGCTAGTCCTACAAAGTGTCAAAGCCTGACACCTCTGCTTTCAGTCTAACCGTTTTCCACACTGAAGCTAGAATGCTGTTTCTGAAATGCACATCCGATCGTGGCACTTCTTACTGGAAACCCTTCAGTGACGTCCAGTAGCTGCAGGATAAGCTGAGACTCCACGGCATAAACCACAAGGCCTTTCAGGAGCTGGCTCTTCCTTCATCTTCAGCCTCTTCCCTCTCACCTTCTTGCCTTCCATTCTCCATCCTGCCATTAGGGAACAGTTTGCAGTAAGTTCCCCCAATATGCCATGGCTCCTCCTTAACTCTAGACTGAGCTTTATCTGCAGTACGGTTCTCCCTGCCCTACCTCCTGGTTGGAAAGTGAAGTCAAAGAATGCCAGTACCATTACCTTTTGAGAGAAAACCCAGTGATTTATATTAAAAAGGAATGTGTAATCTCACCAGGATTTATTATAAAATGTGTTATTCCCTAATGGTCTGACAATGTTTTTTCTCACTTTTGACAGAGAAAAATTCTGGACTGCTATGCTTAGAGTACCACATTTATTTTTGTTAAGTAATGAACTTAAATTTATTAAATATAAATATATAAGTATAAATACAAATAAACATTTAAATTAACAGTAGTTATTTATAAGTGCCTTTGAAATTAAACAGAATGTACTTGATTTTATATTAAAATGATTCGCCTCTACAATTTTGAGCTCAATCAAAATTCAAATAGCTGCTTTTATAAGAATAAGGCATTTAGCAAAACCCAAGAAACCTTCAGCAACTCACATCACATTATCCTGCCAAGAAAATATGACAGGTTTATTATCTGAACACCTCTGGGGTGGAATTACAAATGAAAACTCTGCAGGGAAACCAGTTGGGAACACTTTGGTGTTAATAGAAGAATGATTCTATGTAGCATTAATTGGGACCCGTGATTGTGTGACACGCTCTAAGAAGCAGACCTCCTGTAGCTTCATGTTTCGGGTTTGCACTGAGGAGGGGGGACCAGTGGGAAGAGGAAAGGTAGACCTCCTGTCCATCACATCACCACCTCCCTGCCACCAACACATGCCCACAGCACTGTGTGAAGATTTCACAGATCCTGATTGTGTCCTCCAGAGGCATAACCCAGAGAGACTTAAGTCCTCCCTGTTTAGAAAGTGAGGTCAGAGATTCCAAGCATAAAGTGGTAACCGAAATTAAATGAGAAAGCCAGAAATTCACTTGAAAAAGAAAATTAACATTAAATAGAGAGGGAAATAATTTGAGAAGCGTGAGATGAAATATTAGCTTGGAGTTAAAAAAGACCCAAACCAGGTGGATTAAAGAATAATGATCAGGAAGTGATGACGAGATACTTGAGAGGAAGAAACATGCTTGCCAGTGTCCATGTGAACAAACGAGACTTGGAGGTGTCTGGCAGAACACAGGGCATTGTGAGCACGTGCTCCTTGCCTGGAGTGATGACGTTCGCTGTGCTAGTGCAGGTGACGCGTCTCTGTGCAGGGTTGTGTACCGTGGAGAAACATGGGCAATTCCAGCATCAGAATTTTCCTGGAGTATCCTGTCATGCAAGCCCTAATCATACTGCTCTAATTGTCCCTTCACTTAGGAATATGAGACCCAATCTACTGCAGAAGCCAAATTTGTGAAGCAGCTGGACCAATGTGAGATGATCCTTCAGGCATCTGAGTATGAAGACCTTGAGAACAGACCTGGGAGACTGCAGGACTTCTACGACTCCACAGCAGGTGCTCAGTGCTGTTTGCAGTTTGGCTTACTCCTAGTGCAGTGAATACAGGATGTTAGTGAATCCTCTGTGGTTGCCCTCTTCTGACCTTTCCTTTGGACAGGTAAAAAGGAAAAGGTGGGATTCATCGGGGAAGGAGGCTAGTGCAGGAGAGCGTTGCCACCCTGGAGTCTAAGTGCCAGGCTCAAGGTCACATCTACTAGCTCTGTGCCCCTGGGCAGCCTCTTGGCCTCTCTGTGTCCTCTGAAAAATGAAAATCATAATACTTACCCTACTTAAGTCGTAGGTTGGCTTTGAGATTCAAGAGAGAATTTATATGAAAGTGCATTATCTGTCGTTGCTTTATAGGTGTAAGGTCATGTGAGATGGAGGTAGAAATAGAGATTGAAAACAAGAGAACCCCAAATGGCTGAAGTCACCATACCGGTTTCATTAAAATATCAATGTCATTAGAGCACAGACCTGGAGTCACATTGTCTGGTTTGAATCCTGGTTCTGCCACAAAAATCTCTGTAACCTCTAGTAAATTATTTAACCTGGTTCTGGGTCTTAGTTTCCTTATTTTGAAAATGCAGATAATTACAGAATCTGCTTTGTAGGGTTGTTTGCAGTTATAGTGGGTTAATTCATATGAAGTACTTAGAATAATACCTGGCAATAAATAAGCCTTAGCTCTCTTCAATTTGATAGTTTTGATGAGTGAGGAGCTAAGTACTCGGTGTTAGGGATGGCTGGTGTTCCTGCCCCGCCCTGGAGTGAAACCCCACCTCTCTTCCCTGGGGGCGGCTCACACTCCACTGCACCTCCATCTTCTCTGGGAGGAGTTAGAGACAGCCTTGCTGGGACCTCTCAGGACCCTCAGGTGGCCCACCAAATATAGGAAAGTCCGAGGTCACGGACGATGGTCCAGAACTTGATTTGCGTGGTAATGAAGTTGATTTGATTTTCCTTTCCTCTTTTCCAGCCCCACTACCTCTGCACTAGGCATGGCTCTCGTTAGCTCAGTATTGGGCTGTTGTTGTAACCACCCAACTTAGCCTGCCAGGCTGGCCAGCTCATTCTACATTCCGTGTGTTCATTCAGTGTTTTCCTTCTGTAGTTGTAGGTATCATCACATGCTTGTTTTTAAAACTCCTGTGGCTTGCCTCTTCCTAAAAAATAAAATCCTGACACTTTTGAGTGGCATATATAGCTGTGCAGTCCGAGGCCGCATGCCTCTCAGGTCTCCTTCCCTGACTCTCCCTGTCAAAACTGTGCTGCTTCCTTCTTGCTTGGGCCCCATTTGGTTTAGAGCTTCCCAGACTATTTCACAGTCTGACTTGCATTCTTCTTAATGATGCTGTGCCTTGAGTCTCTTCCCAAACCCCCACTTGTTCACCCCATCCTATAACAAGCTGTTTGAGGGCCAAGACCAGCTTGGTCTCATCTGTCTTTGATATAGGTGGTGTTTAGAATTGTTTGCCTACCGTTAAATAGAATAAAGGTGCAAACCTGGGGTCAGCGAACTATGGCCCGGGGGCCACACTGGCCTGCTGTGCCTGCTTGTGTAAGGTTTTATTGAAACTGCCACTCTCCTTCCTTTCGAATTGTCTCTACTACTTTTGTGCTATAACCGGACAGTCAAGTAATTTGCAACAGAGATATGTAAGTTCACAAAGCCTAAAATATTTACTGTCTGACTCTTTACAGAAAAGATTTGCCAACTGTGTTATAAGCAATGATTAGGTTTTAAGATAGTATATTTCATCAATAATGTAACTGAAATACAATTTTAACATTATCTTCTATTTTGACACATTCTCAAAAAAAAAACGAAATATGAAAATACTAGTGAATTAAAAAATGTGGGCACTTGAAGGGTCATCTAGTTTAAACTCCACATTTTATTGCGGAAGAAACTTGAGCTTGGAAAGAGGGCGACTGACTGCCCGTAACTGGGCTGAGATGAAGATTCACTGCGCTGAGTTGAGTTTCCCTGTAGTGCCTGCTTCCAGAGGCTGCCTGGTCAGGTTTGTTCCAACTCTGTCTCATCGATGGTTCTTTGCCAGAGTCTCATCCGTATGTGCAGAGGCAGCAGGGGTGACGGAGAACAAGCTCCAGGTGGCCCCCTTTGGCCCCCCTCCAAATCAGAAGGACGGCCTGGGGATCGTGTTTTGTGTTGGAGTAAAGCATGGGGCAGGTCACAGGATGGAGCCCCTGACGAGGCCTGTGATCAACATGGAAAAATCGATGTATTCTCTTGTCCTCCTCATCTTTTCTGTCTCCTTGCCTTGCAGGAAAATTCAGTCACCCTGAGATAGTCCAGCTTGTCTCTGAACTTGAGGCAGAAAGAAACGCTAGCATCACTGCGGCCGCCAGTGAGCCACACTCCTGAGATGTTCTCTGTGTTGCTGCACGCCCGTAACAAACATTGTATTTTTCCATTGGATGTTGTTGTGTTGGCTGTTGGTTTGTTGATTTCCCCAGATGTGAGTCTGTTTATTTTCAATTGCCTGGACTCTAGTGAGAAACGTGTGATACTATTGGGCCACAAAAGAAGCCATAGAACAGAATGTGGTCATGAAAATGCATGGATGAGGACTTGGGGGTGGGTGTTTTTTTTAATGAACTAAATACATACATTTTAAAAACCTTAAACTTTGGCATATTTATTGGAGATTTTTAATCTACTGAATTTGTATCCTACATCCCAAGGGCAAGATTCATTGAATGGTGGAAAGTTTAATTATGATTGCTTTTAAGAACAGATTTTTCAGCTGACTTACTAGTAAGGATCCAGGAAAATGAATGTATTATCTCCTCGGATGAAATGCTGCTTTATTCATATGATCACTCTCTGGAGCCGGATTTTTAATTTCACTGTGACCTGTTTTAGGCCTTTGATCATGGACTTGTAAACCTGGCAACCGATTCAGCCCCTTCTTCCAATTCTGTTTGTCATTTGGAGGTATAAACTGGGACATGCAATTTCAACTGCTGTTTGTTTTCCTCTGTGTTTTTTTTCCGTCTGATCTGATTTATAGATGTTCAGACCTTGACTATAGGAATGTTTATCACCAGGTGAGAAATGTATATGAGAGCACTGGTGGGGTCACTAGACCTTTTTGTAGGGAACACATCAGACCTGGTTTCTCCTCACTTCCCTCTCACAGGATAAGTAATCTCCCCACTGGCTTTTAAATGATGCTCAGCCGTTGAATGGCAAGGAAGGGAAGGCTGTTGGTGCAGACCTGCTCACTATTTTGCACTGATAGATTTTCAAGTAGAAGGTGATGTCTGTCCCTTTAATTCAAATGTCAATTTCCATTTGAAGAAAGCCTTCAGGCTGGCATGGTGAGAATTCTAGGCAGCGTTTCTTTGGAAACTCTTTGCAGTCTCCATGGATACCCAGTCTGCAGGAAGCAAAGTGCATGATCTCTTCAGAAGCAGCACACTTGTGTACATGCAGCTAGCTGCTCTGTGTTGAAAAGAGCAATGCTGCTTTGCATCCAGATACTGTCCACACCATAGAAACAGTATTTAAAAGGTGATAAATGGTTGAAAACTGTGGTTATTATTGGAGATATAGTTGGTAGGAAAATAGAGCTACATCTATCAGTATTGGAGTTTTCTCCTGCCATGAAAACATGCACACAAAATAACTCAAGATAAAGGCTCCAGTATTTACAACTGAAAGATTACTTGTGGCCCTGGAGTTTTATTTGCAATATTTTTCCTTCTGTATTTTTCATAAATTTATGGAGAGACTTTGGAGTCATTTTACTGGGTCAGATTTAACACCGGCCACTTAATCATTATCTAGGTTTCCCTTTACCAACCAAGTGGGGGTTTACACAGGCCCAAACCTTCCTTACTGAGGTAATATGTTTAAAAACAATGAAAATGTGATGGTGCTATAGATAAAATATCATAAGAACAAAATGAAGATCAATGAAAATAGCTATTCATTAGTTAATGTCTACAAATATATGAGCATTATCACTTAAAAAGTGTATTTTTCTTGGAAGATTCATGCTACTTGCCTGGAATTGGTTTTCTGAATATCAAGCCCTGTCATTGTGATGCAGAGGAAATAATTATTCCTGGGTTGAGCTCTTGATTCACAAACTGGCTGCCATACATGGAGAGAAAGGAGGGTCCAGAGAAGGACGCAGACCACTCCAGACTGACAGGTGGCAGGTTTAATAAGCAGTGGAACTTGCATATGGGGCTCACCTGGGGTGGTCACAAGATGAGTAAATCTCTGCACCTGCATGCCACAATCTTTTAAGTTTGTTTACTAGAAGCTTCTTTTTGGGCTCAGTCATGTATACCATCCAGATGGTCCCAACAAGGCATTACTCTCAAGGCTGTGTCCTTGAAAGAGCTCCTAGTATGGGAACAGTGGCCAGAACCAACATTCCCAGGATGGATGTGAGTGAGAAGCCTCTGACTGCCCAGGTCCAGCTTGCAAGTCAGCTAGGAGTTAACGTCCACTCAATGACCTCCTCCAACATGAACTAAAAAAATACTGTTTGTTACCTCCTTGTCATGAGGAAGAGAAACTACCTCACTCAAAAGGAAGAGGGCGGAAGGGTAGGGTCGCAGGGGGCACAGCTCAGGCCAGTGCTCCCTGCCCAGTCCCTGGGGCCGACTGGGGGTGGGCGGCTCTTCCCCAAAAACAATTCCTTGTTTTCCCTTGCGGGCTAGCCTTTCATTAGCTGTTACATAATTCTCAATGCCCTTGTATTTGAAAAAATGTTGACCCTAACAGAATGTCTAACCTGTTTATCTGCAAGTCTGTAATACAGGCTCTGGGATAAATGACTGATGAAGTGTGTTGTGAAAAAGCATCCTCAGGATCCAGCATTTTTATTTAATTAGCTAGTCTTCATATTCAAAGTGAGATTGAGGGTGATTTCTGTGGGAGATTTGTGATAATTTTTGGTTTACCTTAACACATACTCTTGATAATATATTAAGTCAAGTAAAAATGTCAAGGATTGCACCATTCTTAAAGATTATCAGAAGTAACCATAAGATTTTGCCAGATAATAGTTTGAAATTATATTTGAACACCAGGTTTGAAGTTGCTTTACATTTTATATTTAAATCACTTACTATTACCATCTTCCTTTATTACATCCACCCACACTCCAATTTGATAATAAGTGAGAGGAGAGTGTTGAGACTGACGTTTGCAACCTTATGCACCATTTTATAGTAAAGTTCAACGAATGTCAAGCTGACAGGTAGCTCTGGAACAATATTCAGTGGCAGAAGAGCAGCTCACATTCTGGGGTCCTCACGTTGACCACGGAAAGCTGGCATATCAAGACATTCCACAATAAAGCACACAGTTCTGTTTTCAATGGTTCAAGAGCAGACTTACAAGAAATTGTGTCATTTGGGGTAACATGGAGATTTCTTTGCTGACATAACCTACCAACAGTTGTAGTTTTTATGAGATGTGAGTTTAAAATAAAGTTGCAGCATAAATTTATAATATTTGTCCTCAGAGCAATTGCATTTAAAAAGTAGAAAATGTTTAATTTATAGATGGCTTGCCTTTAAAAAAAGTTTATTTGTAAACACAGTTCACATTGGAATTTTTGATTATTGAGATACTATGGTCCCCCCTTGTGTGTTCCCAGGCCCCTATTGGATATCAGAAACTGGATAGTATCCTTATATATACTGTTTTTTCCTATGTATATATCCAGTTTATGGCTTCTCTGTGGCATATCCAAATTGCCAACATCATCATTCTTGTCTGTTGGGGCCGTATTAAGTAAAATAAAGGTTACTTAAACACAAGTGCTGTGACACCAAGGCAATCCATCCGATAGAAAACTACTAGTGACTAGTGGGCGGGGAGCAAATGCAGTGTGGAGATGTGGACAAAGAGGTGATTCATGTGTCTGGCATGGCAAAGAGGAATGACTTGAGATTTCATCAGCTGCTTAGAATGATATACAACTTAAAACTTACGAATTGTTTATTTCTGGAATTTTGCATTTAATATTTGTGGACTGAGGTCGGTTGCAGGTAACTGAACCTGCAGAAAGAGAAACTGAATAAGGAGACTAGTGTACATCTTTTGTTGTGGTATCATTTTGTATACATGGTCCTGACCAGAAATTTTGGTTTGCTAGTAAAAGGCTATGTCCACTGCGTGCAAATGTTTTATCACTTGAGGAGCACTTTAACTTACTGTATGTGAACTTGTACATGTAAGTGAGGGAGAGACAGGCAGCTCTTGACTGATCAGGCAGTGAGGAAATGAAACCTCTAGCCTAAGATTACCTACCTACCAGGAAGTGATTTGATTTTTCTAATCAATGATGTGGCTCATTCATATACAAAATGAAAAAAGACTACTCATGTCATAGCTGTTATATCGTTCCCAGATCAGAATTATTACTGTACGTAATTAGGTAGATGTTAATAAAGGAAAGACAGCAAAGGGAATTGGATATTGAGCTTAATATACTAGGAGTACAAGCCTAGTTTATTTACCAGGAAGCTACAGCTTCACACCCCAGGGACCATAGCACTGCTCCACCCAGGGGATTAATACCCATCCCTCCCCACCCCCTTCCCTGCTCTGGTACTGTTTGTTGGAGGGTTTAGAGGAAGGTGCTTGACCAAGGAGGTCTGTCAGTCTAGCCTCGGGGGAAAAGGGATTGGTTGGGAGGTGGACCCCTCAGAAGGCACACAAAAGCTTGGAAAATTCATTGGGTTATTTTGAAGCAGCACCTAGTCCACCCCAAACCCAAGCAAATATAATACCAGGGAAACAAAGTTTTCCCTCTCTGTAACACATTCACACACTTTCTCTTGCCGGGAGCACACAGCCATTCTGATGTAGCAGCTCCTGGGGCGGTGGGGGAATGTGTGGGCTCCAAAGGACTGAGCTTCAATACAAAACAGAAACTCTGGACACTGGCTTTTGTTTTGGCCTTGCTGAAGACATGGTTGGACTTTTTCCATGCTGGGATGGAAGGAGGTGGGACATTGGGAACCCAGGGGGCAGCTTCTATTTCCACTCAAATTTTGCCACACCACAGTTTCCCATGCATGGGTCCTTGGGAAGCTTTCCTTGCGATCTTGTGTAAGAGTCCAATTACTACAGATAACAGTGTGAATAATTGAAAACTTCTCAATTAATAGAGGTGACATGAATATAGCTTGTACAAAACTGATGAAGAATGTGGTTTAAATAAATTGCTAAATATATTTGCAGCTCTGAGGCATCAACACTAACGTTCTTGATTGTTTTCTTATCCAGTTTTGATACTGTGTTTTCTGATTGTGAGTCTGAGACCACTGTGTGCAGAAATCAGTTGGTGAATGAAGATATTTGCTTACAGTACCATAATTCTGCTTTTTCTACAAGACAATGCAGTATCCTGAATGTAGTAAAAAAAAAAAGTTGGTGGTGAGTTTACAAAAGATGACCATTTCAAACACACTAGGCAACTGCAGATGGGCAGAGAGGAGTACCCACATGCACCAGGTGATGAGCAACACGGTCACAAGCCAGTGGAATGTGGTTTGGCTTCCACCAACAGACTAGAAGGATAAATCAGGGAGAACACCAGTGATCCTACTGGCAGGGCTTCTCTGCTCACATTTACCCACTTTGGTTCAAGTTTACGGCACCCATACCTGTGTCTGCTAAGAGTCCTGGCCTGAGAGATTATGTGGCCCTGAATCAACTCAATTTTCCATCAGGCATACAGATCGTCCTGTTTCATTATTAGAATAGAATTTTTCAGATTGGTTTTATTTCACTATGTCCACTGCTACTTAATAAATTTAAAAATATGAACAGTAAACATACTAACTATATATATAGGCTACATGTGTATTACATGGATTATATGTTACAAATACATATATTTAAATATATACCTAAATTGGGATTTTTTTGTTAGAAGATCTAGTCTGTGTGCATTTAAAAAATGAATGTATGGGATGTATCTCTGTTA